ACTTGTCTAACTTTCATCGTAGTTAATCCTGCACACTTATCTCAACACATAGATTAGACAACAAATGACAATTGACTTTATCATCAAAATCCGAGATTCAACACCAAGCACATTGAGATAAAGTACTTGGTGGTTAGAGAAAGAGTCTAGAAACAGCAAGTGTCAATTGAGAACTTGAGCACCACTATGATGATTGCTGATCCATTGACAAAAGCCTTACAGAGTAAAATATTCAAAGAACATGTTCTTAGAATGGGGCTTGTGAGCAAGTCATAAAGGATATGGTGATGCATGTTTATGTGGATGCTATTATTGACATTTTACTTAATTAAAGTTATATGTTTCTGCTATCCTATTTATATTTATGTTTATGCATATTATGGTTGAATGTAATAATAGGATTATCTTGACAAGACAAATTACAAGGGTCATTATGGACTATATTAGGAAAGACTAACAATGTTGTGGTACATAGAAGGGAGTATGACATTGATGAAATACAACCGCTATGACTCGCATTGATAGTTGGACTTAATATAGTATTATTGTGTTTATTGGACTTATTGGCTTATTTTTAAAACATGGCCATGTATAAAATGCTTTTCAAAATTTCTTGGAATCCAATTAGGTAAAATTATTTTAAAACAAATTTTGTTTTGTTTGTTTTGATTTTGTATCTCTTTTATATCTTATCAATTAATGGGCCAAGTGGGAGAATGTTAGAATATGTGGCCCTTTTATAATTGAATAAGATATATAATAGAATAACTAATTAGGTTCCGTTCAGATATTTTAGCCAATAGACTGATGGAGGAAATCTTCTGAGATCTCATCGTAGACCCTCTGCTCTCGCCTATAAAAGGACAGGATCTTTAGGGGTTGAGGGTGTGTTAGAGCGTCATAACGTTGTCATAACGTTGACACGTATAGACAGACGCACCTCTTCGTTGAGGGATTCAGTTATTCTCCTCGACTCTCTCCCCAAAACCTTCTCCCCAAATCCATCAATCTGTGGATAGGAAGAGAGGAGAAAGGGTCTACTCTCCTTGCACTCCTTCAGATTGCATGCGATTGGATTAAAGACGATCGGATTAAAGACAGTGCTTGCAGCTATTTTGGATTAAAGACGGTGCTTAGCAGATCAACGGGATCTCTGAACATATGACATCAAAAGGTACGCATCGTATAATTAGATCTATGTATTGATTTCAATCCTAGCATATAGGTTATTTCCGTATTATTGACATAACATAATTACATATCTTTATGCTTACATCCAGCTCTTCAAGCAGCTGGTGGGAGCCGTTTTCGTCACCGTGTGGAACCTCGTGGCCACCACAACCATACTGCTGGCCATCGCCCGGTTCACGCCGTTGCGGATGCCGAATGACCAGCTGCTGATAGGCGACGACGCGGACCACGGGTAGGAGGCCTACGCTCTGTGGGGCACGGGGAGAGGTTCGACGCGACGCGGCATGTGATAGTGCTGCGGGCTGACGATGCCATCCATTAATGGGATGAGAGAGGCCAACGGAGCCAGAGGAGTCACAATCATAACACGCTTGCCTGCTGCATGTGTTTGTAGAAATGACAGGCACTTCCTGGTTGAGACTTCCGGGTTAAATGACACTTCTCACTTTGTGATAACAAAATAAGACAGTTTCTGAGTTTGTCTGCTGCATGTGTTTGTAGAAATGACAGGCACTTGAATTAAGGAAGGGTTTTGTTTGATTCGTTAAAACTTCCTCTTTAACTGACACTTGTTACTTTGTGACAACAAAGTAAGACAGTTTCTGAGTTTGGGCATCAGAAACAAGTTTTATGACCTGCTTATAGGCTTAAAATGCTACGGTTTCTTTCTTGTATCAACATCCAGAAACTAAGTATGAATAGAGCAAATGACGGATGAAGGAAAGCAATACAAAATAGGGCGAATAGAAAAAAAATAAAAATAAAAACATTTGTGGCTGCTGGGATTCGAGCCCAGGTCTCCACGGCCACAACGTGGAATTCTAACCACTAAACTACAGCCACTTTGATGTTACAGTTTATTTTAATTTCATATTTATTCTAAATTATAGTTCAGAATAAATTATTTACAACAGCACATTAATAATTTAGGTTAAATGTGAAAAGATTATATAATTAATTACTCAGCTCAGCTAATTCTCTCGGTGACGAGATCTTCCCTCGTAAAATCCACATAAATGAAAATGATCAATCAGAACGCAGGTAAAAACAAAGATAACATCTTAAAATCCCTCCCTCACTTTCATTTTTTGATATATATCTATTGACGCATTCTAGTGGTTAGTCTGTTCCTGCACAGATAAATCACCATACAATGTAACAAAAAAAATTGTTTAATTTTTTTTAAAAAAAATTCAATTGATATACGACTTTATCAAGCATGTTGCACGCTTAAATTCAATCAGTATACAAATAATAATGTCGAAAGATTCAAGCATTTGAGAATATGTTAGGCTTGAAACAGAATAATGGGCAGAAAACGAGAGGTAAAAGACCTCGTATCACCGACAAGAATAAGAGTTTAAATAGACAAATGTGTCCCACAAACAACCACACAATCATCTCAGCTTAACAGATTAAGGTGACTGTGTGAGAAGGAATGGTAAGAAAAATAAACTTCAGACCACAACCACAAGACAGTAAAGCCACCCCATGGTGAATTTGCAAGCATCCAGTAGCAGTTACAAACGACCAAATTGAGAATAACTTTCCATACCTTGTCCTGCAAAGAGCATTTCATTAAGCTGCAGAGCATAGACAGGCCTTTGGAAAACCTTTTCCAACTGAATGAACAGGGACAACTCCAAATTCTTCAGAATCTCATCTTTCTTTAGGTGAACTTCTAGGGCACGATACACCATTTTTCCTGCTGCTTGTAGCATTTGGTTGGAAAGCAGAGTCTTCGGCTGTTCGTGTACGTGGGGATCTTGAAAACTTCTGCCTGGAAATTTGAAGATTGGACATGTTATGATTAACCAAGAAAGCAAAACTTAGGAGTGCTGGAAATATTATCCTCCTATATTGAGAGTATCATCGTCGTCTCTTGGGCATTAGAAAATTCAGTTGAAAACTAAAGCAACTTAATTATTCAAGGCAATACGAAAAACCTTGGTCATTATGCCATCCATAGAACACAGAAATGCTAACATAATCAATACTGATCCAAGCAAGCTTGCCTTCGTATGGAAATTGGAACCTGGTCACCTATCTTTCCAGAAGCATCCCTCTTGTCGACAGGATCACCACCCTGTTTCAGTAATAATTTATTTTCAGATAATTGTGGGAGTAAAAAAGCATCAGATGAAGCTACTAAAGGAATATGTAATCAAATTTCATGAGTGCACAACTTACTAAACATTAAAGCCAAAAACAAGAGGTTAGCCATAAAAATGACAAAATTTCAATACACTACCACAAAAATGTTTCAAACATAACCACACATAGGCAACAAAGTAGTAAAACACATCTCAACAAAGTCCTTCCTAACCCTAGATGCTGTTTCAAAAATATGCATCATCAAATGAGGTAATTGGAATAGATTGATAACAATCCACATGAAGGAACAACGAACGTTGTTACTTACACCTTTCATATATCAAATAGTTTTAATATACGATCCACGTGACTAAAGTTGTGCCAAAAGTTGGTGAAATATCTATAATCCCAGCAAGTAAATATTGTTGTTCACTCAGATGAAGCAGAAGCAGCTGATAGTAACTAAATCAGCTAGTATGGTGAACGCATCATGTTCTCATTCAGATAAAGGATTATCATTATTGTTTAAAATATAGCAAACCAAAGACTAATGCAAAATTGTTGTAACTAATCCAGCATATAGATCTGTCTGGAACGGTATGCTGAAATGAGCAACCAAGATATCATAAAATGAGGTGATATATTGCATATATTGGCATAAAAATAAACCACTTTGCCTAGTTTTATGTCTAGCAATTGACGATGGATTGATATAAAAAAATATTTCAAATTTATAATGCATCTTCCAGATCAATAAATGGTGAACATAATTTCAAACATGTCTAAACCAAGAAAGATGTCACATGTTATCTAGCAAACAGGCTTCCACAATTTCAAGAAAAATGGAACACAACTTCCAAGTTACACCAGCAACTATGGACCAGGAAAAAAATGGTGAGAAGTTGTCAAAGTTTTTGACAATGTGATCATCTTGTGCTGATGATCACATTGTAATCATGGATTGCTGTACTGAGGCATACCAGTCAGCATGCCTGATAGAATACCATAATCTTGTGCTGGTGCCGAGAGTATGCCAACACAAACCTTGACAATGTGACCATCTTGTATTGCTTGGCACAGGGCCCATGGTATCACAGGTCAATCAGCATGCTTTGGCCTGCCCAAGTTCTGAAACACTATTGGTGGACAACACAACAATCCTTGAGAGTCTATAATTATTTAGCAAACGAATCATGTTATTGTAGTTCAAGTAAAAGTAGGCTGTCACCACTAGTTAATCTCATGCATAGCTATCAGAAGCATTCATCTAAGGTATCAGAACAAATATTGTATTAACATCAAGAAGTCATTAGTTTCACTACCCATTTTTCTTGTATTAACAATAGTTTGGAATACATATTCTTAATAGCATTAACATACATGATACACATAACATTCCAAAGCTCATTTAAATCTCAGGTAAACCTGTCCTATGATTTTTTTCAAGCCCACAAACCACGTTGAAGTCCTTCATTTTATGTGAAACAGTTTTGTCACATGTAACAGTTCTTGGAATACTCAATTCCTTTGAAGTATTTGCTCAATCCAGTTTCTCTCGGACTTTCAAGGCATGATCTACAAGTTAATATAGATTATGCACCTATGAACATATCAATGTTAGATAAAATTACAATGTGTTATTTCTTACTCATCCAATAATACACTAACGATGAAATCGAATGAGCCAGTTAACAAAGTTAACTCTTTATGTGCCAAGAAATTTCATACCTCAAATGGGTACATTAGTCACTTAATTTACCATATTTTTTTTCATATTCCTATAAAATATACTTTTACCCATTCTTTTTACTCCAAAACAGTGTCCTCCACATCATTGTAATCATGCATGGTCATATTGCATCACAAAGCACCATTCTAGCTTAGAACACAACTTATGTCTTGAGTTACACCTACATCATGTCTACATAACCTGGAATTCTGTTAGTCTACACCAACAAAACAAAATATCTGTTTTGGTATATGCGAGTCTTAAAGACATCACAGAAACAGGATCATCTCAATATTGAAAAGAGTAAGCTACCCTACTACTACAAGATGCATAATTCAATATTGAACAATTTGAGCTATTTTTTTTCACCAAGCGAGTGGAGGAATACAACAAGTTTATGATGTTCTTACTTCAACAAATGATGCTAAAATCCCCTCATCTGCTTGAACTTTTGGTTCAGCCAGAGGCTGTTCCTTGTCTTTCTCATTAATCAATCTCCCCACGAGACCCATCTTCCTTTTTTTCCTGCTCAATGTCCACACTTTCTTATCCCGGACCTTCCACATAATTCCCTTCCTAAAGATGACCTTCTCTGACTTCCACCCCGGGCAGCTGGTATCAATTACCGTCACATCCGTCCTCGAGTACGCCGACAAGTCCAAGTCCACCGGACTACCGGCCGTGCCCCGCTTTCTCCGCAGCTTTGACCGGCTCTTCTTGGCCTCGGCCACACTGTTGTCCGCGCTGGAGGGCGGAGACGTCGCCGGAAGGGAACGGCAGCCGTCAATGCTGGCGGAAGCCGAGGGTACGCAGACCTTAGGGTTGGGCTGCTTTCGGGAGCTCTTCTTGGCCTTGAGGGCCCGGACCACGGGCGGTCCTCCCATAACAAAGAGCTCCGCGAGGACACCGCCCACGAGATCGAAGAGCCGCTGCTTCCCATCAGTAGAAGCGCCCGGGGGCGGAGGCGGTTGCAGATGTTTTTTCCGGCGGCGTGGATTGGCGAGAGGCTCTGGAGGCGGCGGATCGGAGAGTACTTCCTCGGGGGGAGGAGGAGGAGGAGGAGGAGGAGGAGAGTTAGGGCTAGGGTTGGAAGCAGAATCAGGGGAGAGGAAGTGGTCGAGGTGGAGGTGGGCGGGGACGGAGAAGCCCCTGGAGCTGTGGAGGCGTTCGAGCCAATTGGAAGTCGACTTGGTGTTGGAGGTGGAAGTGGAGATCGAGAAGAGCATTTTGCTGGTAAAGGAGAAAAAGAGAGGGATCTTTATAAACTCGCCAACCTAAAGATGCAGAGAATGAGAAAGAGATGGGAACGAGGGGTGTGATTAGAAGCTTTGATACAGTGGAAAAGACTCTGTTTAGTAGAGAAGAGGAAAAAGCAAGGATTATCGCTGACATGAACACACCGCTCGCGTACACGTGCTTTGCACATGTTTACTTGAAAGATGTAATATTAATTTCATTAAAATAATATTTAAACAAAGTATTATTACATAACAAAATTAAAAAACTTACCTGCTAATATGAACATACATAAATTATGGTGAAAATGAAAAAAATCCGAGAGATTAATATGTAAAATGCCAAAAGTGTCAAAAGTAATAGAAAGACTATTACGCAATCAAGAGTGATTATAGGAATTAATATGCAAAACCCCTGGATAACTATTAGGGCTTACTGGAGGGGAAGGACATCAACCATTAAACTATGGCGGATTCTACTCATCAGCTGTTCTCCGCTCGCCAATTCTAAACGTCTTTCTTCTTGCATGTTTCGCTCGCTTAAAGCCTTTGCTTCTATTTCTTCTTCTTTCGCTTCTTGTACTTGCTTTGTTTCGTTTGTTGCCCATAAAAAATACGGTCCCCTTTGACTCGTCCATAGCCCCAGAGAGTCCTCCACGAAGAATTAAAGAGTAGATTATGAAAAAAAAAATTATTTATTAAAATAATAAATAATTTATACAAGTTTTCATACGGTCCTCTTCGATCCTCACATCATTGATTAAAGATATAAGAAAGCAAAGATGTTATTTCGTATTTACCTCGATCTTATATTATGCTTTTATAAGATTGGAGCTTTCGTCAAGGATTTTAATCTTGAATCGATATAATTAAAATATCTTATAAGCGTGAGGTTTTGGAAGGGAATCTACTAGTTGATCAAAAGTATATACGTAAAAAACATATAGTTGATATTTGACAACTTGATCTTTTACGAAGTGGAAGTCGATGACAATATGTTTCATGTGTGAGTGGAACACTAGATTAGTGCATAGGTAAGTAACACCAATTGAGTGAATTTAGAAGTGATGTCAAAGTTTTTGTAATAGATTGGTGGCCTAGTTGAGTTCTACAATAGTGGTAGTAATGACTCAGTATTCAATTTTAATGATGGATCTTGCGATTGTTTTTTGTTTCTTGAAACTATAATTGATTGGATGTGCTCAAAAGAAGACAATATAGGTTGATGTAGATGTTATATTATTAATGTTGCTTGTCTAATTACCATTAATGAAGACATAGAGATGAAGTGGTGAGAGTTTACAAAGAAAAAGTCCATGATTGAGAGTCCCTTTTAGAAAAAGTCCATGAAAAAGTCTATTAATGTTGCTTGTCTAATTACCATTAATGAAGGCATAGAGATGAAGTGGTGAGAGTTTACAAATATAAATTATGATAATTTATTGATTATAAATGAGATGTCTAGACGTGTGAGAGATAAATAATGTAAGAAGCCAAGTACTTGTTAATACTGTGTGGGATCCATAATAGGGCTGCCATCATATAATTTGAGTGATTTAGTAATTGATAGTAGGGTGACAACTTCTTTAATATTTTGCATATTTATTTTTTATAGCAGATCTTGAATGTACTTCATCTAAGGTAGGAAAAGTTCAAAAGATATGAACGTTGCTTCCACTCCCAAAAGTAACTTAAGATTCCTAGATCTTTGATGGAGAATCGATCTGCCAACTACTTAAGGAATTATTTGATTTCCATAAGATTATTGCCTATAATGATAATGTCATCTACATACTATATAGTACTTCCCTTTTGTTGTCATAGAAATAATCAAGTATTAGACTTGGAGTTAATGAAGTCAATTGATACCAAAAATGAACCAAGTTCGATATACCAAGCTCTTAGAACTTGATGAAGTTCATAAATAACTTTTCATATTTTACAAATATGACTTGAATATTAAGGGTGGATAAAGCTAGGAGGTTGCTACATAAAGACATCTTCAGTTAAGGTCCCCTATAAGAAAGCATTATTAATATCTAGTTGGTGCTAGCTTTAAGTGATAACCAAACTCAAAATAAGTCGGATTATTATTGGTTTAACAATTGGATTGAATGTTTTCATAAAGTTAACACTTGATTGTTGATGAAACCCTTTAACCAATAGATATACTTTGTATTTAGCAACAGATCCATCTGGGTTTTACTTAATTTGAAAGATCCACTTATATCATATGATATTTTATGTGTGATGAAATGGTGTAAGGGTTCATGTGGCATTACAGAATGAGGCATTTGTTGGAAAATCTTGGAGGCAATATCATATGTGCAGCGGAAGAACAGAAAACAAAACCCCCAATTCCCAAAGATATGTTCATCGTCGTGCGAAGATTGGTACGCAAAAATCCATGAAACTTAAAACTATGTATAGAATAGATTGTGTTACTTAGGGAGATCATATATCCCTAAATCCCTACAGATCTCTAAGAGATAGTGAAGGAAGTCAAGCGCCCTCCTCTCTAGCGATGATGCACACAGCAGGGCTGCGACGATGCTCCTCAAAACTCTATGCTTGCTTTGAGGTAGAGAAGGGGAGGAGAATAGGAGAGGCAAGCAAAGGCTCTAGCCTATGAACCACTGAATCCCTCCTATTTATAGATGTCCTCTATCAACTTAACCCTAATGAATCCTCCCCTTATTGGGTATTGGATCTCCATCCATCTACTCAAGCCTCTTAGATTAGTGAATCTCTATCCAATAATCTATCATGGGCTCTTATTGGATCTCGTCCATGGGATCCAATAATTTAGGGGCTTATTGAATATCCAATAAGATAGGAGCTCCGATGGATATCTCATATCCGAACCTTTACTCATCGCAATGACTACCATATGTGTATGACCCTCTAGGCCTAATACCGAGCTGGCCATGAGTCATACCTGTCAAAACTCATTCTGACTCAGTGAATTATTATCTCCATAATAATTCACTCGACTCATCGACTACAGACGTATTAGGCCACTACGTCGCAGTCCCCAAATGATATAAAGGAATCCAATCCATTGGACCTATCTGTCCTTAGTTATTATGTATCTATAGTCTCTCATCTATCTAATATCCCAAAGACTATATACCGGGCATTGTGCTGTCAGACCCATACGGTTTCTACTCGAGTCTCGCTTTAATTGGATTCTCCCAAAGAACTCTTTTTCTCTCAATCCGAATGACCCTAGCTAGGGATTTGTTTGAGCAAGAACACGAGATATTCCTCTCATGAAATCGAGTGTGGATGATCCTCTATCGATGCTCAATAGCCCTTATAAGATTGACTACCACTCCCGAAGACTGGTTGTGCTAGATTTGGGACATCTAAACCTATAAGTTCGGTATCAAAGAGTGGAGCACTCATATAGGACATCCTTGGTGTCTCAAGTCTAAGAACCAGATACACCACTAGGACCATGAAATCATTATTTGACGATAAGGCATCATCAACTATCCAGCATTCCATAAGTGGATCAATTAGTGAACTCATTCTCAAATGAGCACATGTATTGTATCCCTAGTGTCCTCACACAAATAGCTATGAGACTAGCTGCATCCATCATATGGATGTGTATATAGCACACCAATCTGTCCGGTTATCTCGATGTCCCTCTCGAGTAACCTATGACCGAGATTATTTAGGATATGTGTTTAAAGGCGGATCGGTCTTCTTATTATGATCTCTTCATGATCTGATTCCGATTACATAGATCGAAGGATATCACAATATATATATATATATATATATATATATATATATATATATATA